TCCATCAATCAAACCATCCATCCATCCATCCATCCATCAATCAAATCATCCATCAATCAAACCATCCATCCATCCATCCATCCATCAATCAAATCATCCATCAATCAAACCATCCATCCATCCATCCATCCATCAATCAAATCATCCATCAATCAAACCATCCATCCATCCATCCATCCATCAATCAAATCATCCATCAATCAAACCATCCATCCATCCATCCATCCATCAATCAAATCATCCATCAATCAAACCATCCATCCATCCATCCATCCATCAATCAAATCATCCATCAATCAAACCATCCATCCATCCATCCATCCATCAATCAAATCATCCATCAATCAAACCATCCATCCATCCATCCATCCATCAATCAAATCATCCATCAATCAAACCATCCATCCATCCATCCATCCATCCATCTATCTTTCAAACCATCCATCCATCCATCCATCCATCGAACATGCCTAGAAAAACTCACTGTACTTGTGTCCAGGGGAAGTACTAACCAGATGCCTACTCTGCCTCAACCGGCTCCTCTTGATGTAGAGAAGCAGCTCACTYTRTCTCTAAAGCAAAGCCCAGCTACCCTGCAGAGAAAACCCCTTTTAATATCCTGCATCTGAGATCTCATACTTTAGGTCAATTGTCAGTGTTCATGACCATAGGTGAGGGTAGAAATAAGAAAATTTGTGCAAATTATATATTTTTTGAAAAGCCAAAAATATTTGTTATTGGTCCATTTCAGAAAAAGCTGATAGTTAATGYATGAACTAAACAAGGGAATCTGTGAGAAACATTTAACAAATATCCTAACTACTTTCAGTAGAAGTTGACTTTAGAAATGTAAGGTGACTTTTTCAAAACTTGTATCAGCTCACTGCTTCTCATGCATTAAGTCCATAGGTCATCTGTCTCAATAACTTACGCCCACAATTTATAAATAATTTATAGAAGAAAATAATAGAAGTTTGAATTTCTATGAGTTTTAGGAAGTCAGTTTATAGTTCCTGTTGTGTTATACTTATACCACCTTGCTTCACACTTATAGTGGGACACAGAGCTCCCCCAGTGATCCTGGACACTCAGACTCTCCATTATGGGACAAAGGAGGACACAAAATGGGACAGAACACTTTATGGGCTTTTTATTTCTCTAGTGCCCAAATCTGGAACATAGATTTTGCCCCAAGCAATTATTGCTCACTATTTGTCATGATTTATTTATTTATTACATTAGGTCCTTTGCTGACCTTGAAACATTCTTCAGAACCAGAACAGATGTGTTAAAGTTGAACTTGTTTTTAAATCTCAAAACATGCTGCCAATGTGATGGAGGCTAAAGTGACTTGACATTAACAAGGATTTATTTTACCATTATTTGTGCTTTTCAATCAGTTTTAATTGAAAGAAAGAATCGTTCCTACAGGGGATAAACTCTAACATGGGACTAATAAGCACAGACAAATGAGTGGGGCGAGACTGWGCATTGGCCAATTAAATGTGCAGAGGAGCTCATTATAGGCAAGACTAACATTTAAAGAAGACACAGAGCTTCTGCTGGTGTCTRTGAAGTCTGCTGAGGAAATACCGCCCATCCGAACATTCATGTGTTAGACTTTGAACCATAAAATAAAACATTAGGCAGATTTATTTCTGTCCTGGTTTGGCTGAAGTCCAACCGCGTTTTAAGAAACTTGTTTGAGACCACGAGTTTGGATTCTTGCAGAAACTCAAAAAGTGTGAAACCTAAAAAAAAAAAAACATAATTTATTAAAGGCCTAGAATTTTACCTGCTACCTTTCATGCCAAAGTTTTATATCAAGATCACATTAGAAATGACAAATTCTTTGGTCAAACATTGACAGTAACATTATGAGCAAAATCATGCAATATATTGAGCAAAATGTTAACACGTTTAGAATATGTACTGCAACACAAAGTTTCAGCTCAACATTTTTAAAATTCACTGAGCTGTAGCTGGGTTTTTTTTTTTGTTTTGTTTTCTAATGTCAGCTTGCTGCAGCAGCCGTCTTAAATTAGACTAAAAGTGAATCAATTGGTCAACTCGGTGATTACTGTCTGAAAAAGTTTCATTAAAATCGATTCAGGAGTTCACAAAATATTTTGCTAACAGCATAGACAAAAATCACAGGTCCACACACAAATATGTGCAAAAAAATGTCATTGTTCTACTGTCGCCTCCAAAGATGGGTAATTGTAATTATTGTGCTGTAATTTGAAAATGACCTGAAATTCACCAATGAGATGACTTGTTACTGAAAACAGATATRTAGTTTTATCAAATAAACTCTTAACCTTTTCAGTTAAAGGTTTTAAGTATCTGTGTCTTGTTCATGAGTGACGGAAGGATGGATCAACAGATCTGGGCCAGATACTGTCATGATCTGTGTTTACTTTCCTTAGTTTTCTAGTGTTTCTGTGTTCCCCTGTGTATCTCTCCCCTGCTGTCATTCCTCTAGCCCCACCCATATATCACCTGTTTCCTCTTGTGTCTCCTCCAGGTGTTTCTTGTTGTCCCTAATTAATTTGCCTTTATATTCTGTGTCCTGTTTTCAGTGTTTGCCATTCATTGCGCTGGTCCCCCAGTCAGTTTGGTTGTCTCTGTGTCCTTCGTGTTTGCTCCCTGAAATCTCCTTGTGAGTACTTTGAGCGGCCTCTTCAGCCTTTTTGTTTGTTTAATAAAGCCTTTTTGTTACTTTTTGGATTTCTGCCTGCACCATGGGTCATTCTGTACACAACCTTACAGRTACAAGCAGTCAAAATGAGCTTTCTTTGTCGGGTGGCCAGTCTCAGTCTCAGAGACTGGGTGAGGAGAGCTGCTGCTCCTCCACATAGAAAGGAGCCAGTTGAGGTGGTTTGGGCATCTGAYTGGGATGCTTTTAGAGGTATTCGGGCTTGTTGCACTGGTAGGAGGCCACAGGGAAGAGACAGAACTCACTGGARGGATTGTGTATCCTCTCTGGTCTGGGAACGCCTCTGGGTTCMCCAGGATGTGCATGAAAGTCTTGATGGGGAGCGGGATGTCTATGTTTCTTTCCTTGACTTGTTGCCTCCACAACCTGACTTGACAATAAAAGATGAACATGGAAATAGAGACGAAGATAATATCTTAACTCCATGATTATTTGTTCTAAAACAAGGCTTAAGAARATGTTTTAGTCCAGCAGTGATCTCTTTTTGTGACTATGTGCTCTTCCTTGGTAGATCTGATGTTTAGTAGGAGTATTTGTTCCACCTGTTAGCAAGCTAAAATCTATCCTTATTTAKTTAAAATTGCATATTTGTCAGATAGTTGTAAAAAAAGAAAGTGTTTTTGTGCAAACTGAAAAGTCAGACAGCAGACATACTGTGGGCCAGCTGTGTCTGTTTTTTGCACATTATGCCATATGTCACAGGTGTCACCCCACCCCACCCCCACCCATGATCAGTCTACTCACATCAAAGGCTGTCCACTAAAGCAATCTGTGATTCAGATGGAACTGGGCCCCAGCAGATGCATGAGTCACCAACATCACCACAAGCCTGTTTACCAACACTTCGTCTCCTCTCCCACATAAAGTTGCACCCACCAAACCCCCAACACAACCCAGTCACTGTTACATCTGGTTATGTAGCCTCCTGTTAGCAGCCTGTAAGTGTTTTCACTCTGGCCTTCAAAACCCACAGAATAACACTTATTTAATCAAGAGACTATAAAGAAAGGTGCTCCAAAGCCTCTACAGAAATGTACAATGCTGCTGTAAGCACGGTGTTCTCTGTATCTAATGGCCAGGTTGTAAAAGGAAAAGTGTCAGCTTCTCTATCTGACAGCTTTTCGACCTGACAGACAGCAGACATCATCTGTAAATTAAAAAGTGACCTCATCCTCTGTTTCCCAAGCACAGCAGCGTCCTCTGCTGGTAGGWTCTTTACACGACTTCCAGAAAAAATAATGGAAAATCCTTTTTAAAAATATCAAATTAAATCTATAACTTGTAGCATATTTTTACAACTAGATTAAGCAAAATAATAAAAAATGTGATTATTGTTTTAAATAAAGCATTACAAATGCAACTCTATGTTTTCGTGTAGCTAAATAAAACTTTCTGCTCCGTTTTTCAAACGGATTGTGTTTATTTTAAGTTTCTCTCTCTGCAGTTTGATATTTGACAGCTAGAGGAGACATGATGATGTCAGGCCGGCCTCAGTTAACACCTCTCAATGGATTTTCTTTTTATTCTGCAGCACCTGTCCTTGGCCATCAGACAGCTGACGGTGCTGCCATCTCTGTGGAGGAACAACAGCTCACTGACAAAGGTTCACAACGCAGCCTGGATGTCAAGGCAGGTAGGTCCTTCTGTTATCAGGGTCAAAGGTCAGGCTTCATGAAAGAAACATGCTAAAATTATCTAAAGTATTATCCAACCTTTTTTTTCTTTTTGTGTATTTATATATTGTGTATTCATTTGTTGTTCTGGTGACGTTGCTCCATCTATTTATAGGCCTTCAAGGACATTAGCTCAGTGTAGAAATGTCATGTAAGACATTAAGGCCTCTCAGCATTCATCTGTAAATATGAAGGTCTTGAAACGTCTTCGTTTTAAACACTGTCACTCTGCACTACAAACTACATAACGAAGGGGAAAACAATACATTTTGTGGTTCAAAATAAATACTAAAAACAACTGCAAGGACATTGTGCTTCACCAACTCCTATTATTTTTAGAACTTAAGACAAAAAAGGCTTAAAAAACATGCAACTATTAGTCTTATGTGACACATTCACAACTAAGATTTGAAAATCAACAAAAACAAACTTAATTTGAGCTGCTTCTATCTTCTGTCTTCATTGTTTGTCAGAGGAGGAATGGAGGACGAGACATTTGAGGAGGAGTTATGGCCACCAAGAGCAGATGCTTGTCCACAGAAACTAGTTCGACAGATCCGCAGACCAGGTGGGTGGTGCGCTACACGCAAACACACTGACATTAAATCTGTGTATTTTATATTATGTAAAAAAACACATTATATAACTTTGTAAATCTGCTTGGAAATGATGAAAAGGGGTGATAAGGGCTCTCAGCCAGGGGTGATGGGGGCGGGGGTTCTTGTTGGAGTGTAAAAGAAAATATTTCCTTAAAACACAAAAAATTAGACATTTTTTAATTGCTACAGATGTTGCAAAGGATCATCTTTAAAGAAAAATGTCCATTACTCCAATAAAACGCAGAAGAAAATTTAGAAGCTTTTCTTTTATTATTAGATACTTAATTAATTTTATCACTTTATTAAAACAGRTATCTCTGAAGAGACAATTTTTGTGTCTATTAACAAAAAAACTTCAAGAATGTCAATTATTTTATATGTCTTGACTGAAATGTCTCTAAATAGTCAATTTGTTTCTATTAATTTGTATTTGGAGGAAAATTTCCACTGTGGTGGACATTCTATTCTGTTCTATTCTGTTCTATTTCTGATCCTACTGACCYGCATTATGTGGTTTAAATACTACATTTTTATAACTACAAGTTAAAATTTTAGTTACCCAAACCAAGTAACCTACCTTAGTATCAAATTCTTCCTGTTGGTTTGTTGGTAAATACTGTAATTGTGTATTTACAGTGGTTTGCAAAAGTATTCATACCCCTTGAACTTTTCCATATTTTGTCACATTACAACCACAAACATAAATATATTTCACTGGAATTTAATGTGAAAGACCAACACAAAGTGGTATACAATTGTGAAGTGGAAGCAAAATTTTACATGAATCAAAACATTTTTTACAAATAAAAAACTGAAAAGTGCGACGTGCAAAAGTATTCAGCCCCCTTTTCCCTGAGTGCAACCAATTGCATTCAGAAGTTGCCTGATGACTGCTAATGACTCAAAAGGGTCCACCTGTGTGTAATCTAATCTCAGTACAAATACAGCTGCTCCGTGACGGCCTCAGATGTTGGTTAAGAGAATATTGGGGAGCAAACAGCATCATGAAGTCCAAAGAACACACCAGACAGGTTAGGAATATGGTTTTGGAGAAGTTTAAAGCAGGCTTAGGTTATAAAAAGATTTCCCAAGCTTTGAACATCTCACGGAGCACTGTTCAATCCATCATCCGGAAATGGAAAGAGTATGGCACCACAGTAAACCTGCCAAGACAAGGCCGTCCACCTAAACTTACAGGCCGAACAAGGAGATCACTGATCAGAGAGGCAGCCAAGAGGCCCATGGTGACTCTGGATGAAATGCAGAGAGCCACAGCTCAGGTGGGGGAAACTGTCCACAGGACAACAATTAGTCGTGCACTACACAAATGTGGTCTTTATGGAAGAGTGGCAAGGAGAAAGCCATTGTTAAAAGAAAACCATAAGAAGTCCCGTTTGCAGTTTGCCAGAAGCCATGTTGAGGACACAGCAAACATGTGGAAGAAGGTGCTTTGGTCAGACGAGACCAAAATTGAACTTTTTGGCCACAATGCAAAACGCTATGTGTGGCGGAGAAAGAACACTGCACATCACTCTGAAAACACCATCCCCACTGTCAAATATGGTGGTGGCAGCATCATGCTCTGGGGGTGCTTCTCTTCAGCAGGGACCGGGAAGTTGGTCAAAGTTGATGGGAAGATGGATGGAGCCAAATACAGGGCAATCTTGGAAGAAAACCTGTTGGAGTCAGCAAAAGATTTGAGACTGAGGCGGAGGTTCACCTTCCAGCAGGACAACGACCCTAAACATAAAGCCAAAGCTACAATGGAGTGGTTTWAAAAAAAGAATATTCATGTGTTAGAATGGCCCAGTCAAAGTCCAGACCTAAACCCAATTGAGAATTTGTGGCAAGATCTCAAAACTGCTGTTCACAAAYGCTCTCCATCCAATCTGACTGAGCTTGAGCTGTTTTGCAAGGAGGAATGGGCAAGAATTGCAGTCACTAGATGTGCAAAGCTGGTGGAGACATACCCTAAAAGACTTGCAGCTGTAATTGCAGCAAAAGGTGGCTCCACAAAGTATTGACTCAGGGGGGCTGAATAATTTTGCACATCGCACTTTTCAGTTTTTTATTTGTAAAAAATGTTTTGATTCATGTAAAATTTTGCTTCCACTTCACAATTGTATACCACTTTGTGTTGGTCTTTCACATTAAATTCCAGTGAAATATWTTTATGTTTGTGGTTGTAATGTGACAAAATATGGAAAAGTTCAAGGGGTATGAATACTTTTGCAAACCACTGTATATGATTTTTAACTTTATTTAATTAGCATGCTCATTTTATAATTTAGTGTAAAGCTAAATAAAGATGCATAGGCTGATTAACAGGATGGCAAAACTATTTTAGTCAGTCCCATATGTATAAATAAGTCTTGCACAATTAACCAAAACAGAAAAGCAGGACATTTTAACAAATACATTTTACCCATAAAACAACCTGTTAGGCACAGTGATGATCTCATAGTTTGATCATCTTTAGAAGTTAATTTTTTTGTCAGTATCAAGACCACAGCTTTAAATGTCAGCTGTTCTATTGAAGAATAATGAAAGAAAAGTGAAAATAATGTTTTGAAAAAGAGCCTTGGTTTATCAGGTCAGCATCACCATTTAATTGCTGTTACTGCAACACAACAGGGGGTCACAGTGTTATAAAATACAATGTTTGCATGATTTACCAATCACAGATTTGTACTGTGGAAGTTTACAAACTAAAACAGTTTTATATAATGTTATTTTATCTATTTTTATGCTTTTGCAAATTTACTTTACCCTGCAGTAATATTTTTTTTCTTCCCAGAAATGTACACTTCAAGAAAATTCAGAGAGGTAAATGTGCTGAAATTCAACCAAATGTCAACTTTTAATCTGTTGAACTTTAAAGACAGTTTATTATCCTGTTGAAACAGGAAGTGGCTCCTGTTCCCCTGCAACCAAAATCAGAACCCAAGATTTTACCCAGAGACCCCAGCTTCTCCAAATCTAGTGAGTTTCTGTCCTCTCAGCAGTTTGTAAGACAGAACMTTTCAGTATTAACAGCTCTTTTGTATTTGTTTTTCCTTCATCCCTTCAGAATCCTTGCAAAAATCTCTGTCCCTCCAGAACCTGACTCAGATAGAAACACCGTGGGAGAACGTGACGCTCAACCGCTGTCTGTTGGTGGCCATCACCATCGTGGTGCTCGCCTCAGGCGTCCAACGACTTCATGGTGACTGATCTGCTCCACAAATCTCTAAATGAAATGTGTGATATTTGCTGAGTGCTGTTTTAAATAAATAAAAACCCACAGAAACATTTCGAAGTCACGGAAAGACAGAAGATGAAGCTGGACTGATGCTGAGACGATCAGGAATGTTACATCACCGGAAACATTGGGAGGTAAACCAACATTTAAACCGTTTCACAACTTTAATACCTGAAGTATAAAATTAACAGCTGCTGCTGTTGACCCCACCTGAAGCCTGAGACATCTCTGTGGGAAGTCGTGTTTTGGTGGCTGCCTGACCTCAATGACGACGAGGACGAAGACATCAAAGGAAGAAAATCAAAGCGTGGAAGAACAGCACGAGCATCGAGGGGTCTCAGAAACAGGTCGCCGCCAGACGAAAAACTCTTAAAGCAAAGAGACGGGAAATTAAAGGACAGGAGAGCCAAGAAAGCCAGAGACAAGAAAATGAAAGAGGAAAAAAGGAGAGAGGAAAGGGAGGAAGGCGAGGAGGCAGCTGAGGATGAAAGAGACGAGGACGCAGCTGCCGAGCAAAATACGATTCTGGGAGCCAAGAAGAAGAAAAATGACAAAGGGATGAATGAAGTAAAGGTTACTTTTAAAGTTCTTTCATGAATAAAATCCTGAACTATTATCAGTATCAGCAGTAAGGTGTTACAGCTGTGAAGTCAGCTGCTTTTTACAAATGTGAAATGTTTGAATTTCAGCTTAATGTTAAAACTATTGCTGTTAAGTTTCTCTCCTCATCAACAACAAACAGTAATAAATGTAAACAGTTCAGGAAACATTAAATATTTCTGTATATTGTTTTTTGAAGAAACACAAATATTGCAGTTTTTCCAGGTTTTTGATGATATTTTATTTAGAAAAGCTGTCCTAAAAATAAGCTGTTTATYATAGCTCCTGTGTCCAGATAATTAAAAAAAAGCCTGTTTTTACAAAAGCTTATGCTAAACATTTACTCCTCACTAAAMAAATGAATCATAAACTAATGAATAAGCCTGCAACATGACAAAAATAGGACAGAAAATTGGAAAAGACAACTGAACACCATTAAGATCAATTATTAGACATTGAAAGACCGTCTGGAGGGGGTGGCCTCATCGGCATGGGGGGCATGTGCATCTGGTGGGGTATTTGATGGGTGCCTGGAGCCCCGGGTGGCAGAGGATGCACGGGCATCCCCCCTGGTGGTGGAGGCGGCAGGGAGTCGTTTTGTGGGTGAAGCCCGGGTCCGCCCAGGTGAGGAAGCGGGTGCTTCACATTGGGTGGTGGCACTGGACCGGTGGACTGCGAAATCGCTTTTTCCATTTTGAAGTGGAACTGCAGGAAAAACTGGAAAGAAAAATAAAAATCAAACAAAAAGTTTTTGCTCTGATTTAAAACATCTTTGTGACGAACAACATGTCTGAGCTTCAGTACCTGTTTAGTTTCTTTGTTCCAGTGGGTCCAGAAGCGATTTTCTGCTTTATCAATTTCCCTGCTGGGGACCTAAAATATCAAACAACTTATTATCACAAGACTGTGAGGGATTAGCATAATAATGTCATAAAAGAGAAGTAGAACTGAGCAACCTTGAAGGCAATAGTTTCATATGGTTCAGCAGCAAACAGCAGGTACTGCCAGCGACGATCGGGGGGCTCAATGCGCTGTTCGTAAGCTGACATGAAACGATGTCTGGGTCCGATGCCTTCTGCGATCTCTGGATAGTCGATCTGATTGATGAAGAGAGGAAAACAACAAAGAAACAAGTTAGAGGTTATGGTCATTAATGTGCAACTACCGTTTCCCTCAGGGACTTTATAAGAYGGAGCACTGCGTTGCCATTTCTATGATGCATCCTCATCTTTATTTGAATAATGAACAAACCTGACAACTTTCAGAGTGGACAAAAATCAGTAGTGGAGCTAAACATGTTGGAGCATTTACCTTTGGTTCTCTCAGTGTAACATACATTTTATAATCTGCTTTACTGTGATTCACAGGCTTGTCCCTCTGCAACTCCAGGGTCCGATCCTGATACTTGAGGGCTGCTATCCTGCTTGTTTCTCTGCTCAAACTCACCTGATTCGGTGATTGAATCTCTTCAAGTTTTGTAAAAGCCTGTTCATAATCCATGTTTTCAAATTATGTAGATGGTTTATGGTGAGTGAGGATGGATAAAGAACCCATATGAGCGGGGGCCTAACCGTTCCTTGGATGAAGGACACGAGGTTAGAAACACTCAATGTTCTAAGTTTCTCTGGATCTCTGGAAATTATGTATTAAAAACCTCTAAAACAGACAGGATCGTGGCCCTCGAGGACCAGGATTGGACACCCTTGCTCCTTAAGAAAGTCCTGTTCAAACGCAGAGAACCAAAATCTACACAGAGCCATGAACTAGGCAGCAACGTGTTAAAGTTATGAAGGTTTCACAGCTGCCAGATTGTAAAAAGCTTATCTGTTTTGAAAACCACAATCATTTAGTTCAAGAGTAACTTATATTTTTGTTTATCATAATTAAAATTCAAACCTGAAAAAGTAAAGACTGCTGGCCGGTCTCTGGGTCCCTCTGTTTTGTCACTAAGGAAAGACAAAAAATAAACGCCGATAAAGTTAACATCTATTTATTGCGGTTAATGTAGACCAAACGACGACTGACTTCATACAAACCTTTGTATCCTGGTCGACCGATTTTGACAAACTTCTTGACTTCAACTTTAACTTTAGCTGGAGCTGGTTGAGCTGGAGATTCTTTCGCCTCTTTGGCAGCTCTCCGTGCTCTAAAACACAAAATGTAACAGTTTCAATTGATACAAACTGCGCAATATAAGGTCATGTCTGAATTTCTAGACAAAAGCTTGTGTAACTCAGTTCTGTCATAATAGTTTATGGAAAGGACACATAAACAATGCAAAACATTATCTACGTGCACACAGTTGATTATAAGTAGTAAACATGAGCTAAAATATACACAAAGTGAACTTACAAGTTAGTCTGATGTTTCTTTCCTTGTGTGTGAGCCAAGTAGCTACCCTGTAAAAAATAAAGGCAGCTTGTACATTTTCTTCATAAATTACCTAAATAAGAGTTATAACCAAAGTTCAAACCAATTTATTTCATTATGCGCCTCCTCACCTCATTGTTGTGAAGTGTCAGGCATAGTTTGCACTCATATGAGCCTAAATGATTCTTCATAAAGTAAGGGTCTTTGTTGATGTCGATGGTTTCTAGGGCCAGCTGACGTAACCGTTCACGTCTGTCCCGGTTACTCTCTGAAGCGGAGGCCACCCCTCCGCTTCCTGTCTTTCCTCCAGCTCGGTGCTGGAAATCCATCTTTATGAAGGGATGAACTCCAAACACAGACCAAAACCAGTTCAGTCAAAACTGGACTCRGGGGGTTTTAATCTATAAATGGAAAAGGGGCACAACATGATTCAAAGTTATTAACAAACAAAGTTTGTATTTATGGAAATCCCATACAAAGCGGATGTGTTTCAGCAGCTCAGAAGAAATTTGTATGAACATTACACACAGGCTGCGGATCAGGTTGAGTAAAAAATTACTCTACAAATTCCCTTTGAGTCATCTAAGCTTCTGCTGTCATGACTCTAGTTTAATATTCATCTTATATAGAAAATATTTGTTATAGTTTAAGAAATTATCAACTATCCACCGATCCTTTCATGTACATTTTGCTAAATGTTAGCTAAGCTAGCAATATGCTAACGAACAGCGTTTAAACACAGTACACAACTCCATACAAACCCAAGCAATAAAAAAGATTTGTGTATATATTTCTTTGTAAGTCAATCACGACGCAATATATTAACTTTAAATCATAATAAACTAATGATCTCAAAAATCACCCACTTACCCAAACGACAGGAACACGCAACGATAAAATAGATATGCGCATGCGCGGAAAATGTCTTTCTACGGTTTTAAGCAACTGTGTTTATGTATCGCCCCCTAKTGGATAGGATGAGAGTACTTTTTACAGCGCAAGATACACAAGTAAGCAAAAAAGTAAGCAGTAGTATTTTCATTTGGAAATAAAGAAGGCACGTATTACAAACTTATATACTATACGTTACAACAGAGATGCCATGAAAGTTAATGTTTTTTTTTTTTTTGCATCATAACCATTTTACTTGCAATACCCCAATCAGAACGGTAGATGGCCGTGTTGAAATTGTTAGATGGTTCTGCAATCACCGTAGAAGAAGAACTAGGCAGCGACTCCAGTCTCCGGATGTTTATCTAAAACGTCTCCCACCAGCTGCTGGGGACATATTTWGCCTTTAAAATGTTCATACACTCCGAGTCACATTTTCAGGACATCAGATAAAGAAACGGAGAACTCGACTGCACGCTCACCAACAAAACACTGGGCTGTGTTAACAGCTGGACAACTTTCTTGAGATGTTTTCGGTCGGACAGACGGACCAGCTGTAACCGCGTTGTCCTTCCGTCTGTCTGTGATGCGTTTCAACGAGAAGGAGCTGGTGTCTCTGAGCCGCCAGCCTTCAGAGATGGCGGCTGAACTGGGAATGCGAGGTCCTAAGAAAGGAGACGGTCCGTTGCTTTCTCTGTTTTACCTAATTTTCGTTTGGTGCATGACCCCGCCCGAGCAGGTTAAATTAGCATCGGTGAAACAGAATGGTGTTCATTACACTCAATTACTTCAGCTATGTACTGTAAAAATAATTTCACGTTTTTCCTCTTATTTGGTATTGTTTTATAGTTGTCAAGAGGAGGCTGGTGAAGCTCATCGTTAACTTCCTCTTTTACTTCCGGACTGATGAGGAGGAGGTCAGCTGTGTTCAGTGGTTTTCTCTGTGTTGTGTTGAAACACTTTGACATATATGTTGAGGTCTTTGTTTCTTTTTTTYYYCTCCYCAGCCTGTTGGAGCGTTGTTGTTGGAGCAGTGTCGGGTGGAGAAAGAGGACAGTCAGACCTTCTCTATAGGTGAGCCGCAGCATCCTCAGGGTCACTTTCACACTGACTTTAAACTTCCACTTTCACACATCTGTGCTTGTCTCCTCTTCCTGTAGCGTTTCTAGATGAAGCAGAGAGAAAATATGTCTTTGAATGTGACACAGAGGAGCAATGTAAGGAGTGGATAGACTCTATTATCAAAGCGAGGTAAAACTTACTCTTTTTTTAAAAAATTTCCACAGCAAAAGTTTGAGGTAAAGCCGATGGTTAACATGAATCCAAAATTATCTGATCTCAAGTGGACATTGCTGAATGCACCTGAATCACATCTTATTTATATAAAAAATAGTGTTGAACTCTCATTTTGATGCAGTCCTCTGTTCTCAGTATGGTTTTGGTGGTCAGAGTTAAAAAAAAAAAGGGAGCTGTCAATTAGCAGCATTTAGGGAGTGTCACAAAATTCAAATATTTGTTTAATGTCTTTGTGGTCTCAGTTTGCACCAAACCTGCTGGTTACAGATTGTCCACATTTGGTGATAAATGTATCAGACTAGTGTCAGATTTCATATAACCTGATTGGAACCAAAGTTAAATATTTATCATACCTATGCTGCCCATCTGTGGCTCTAATCTTTACTGTATGTGCTTGAATGTTATTACCCCCTCATCAAATGTTTTTTTCTTGCAGTTATGAGTTCATGAGGAGGAATCTCATTTACTATCGAACTGAAATCCACAGGCTCACTGGGAAGGTAAGACCCACAGCAGCAAGTTTGTTTCAGCTTGCTTCTCTAATTGGGATGCACCGATGTGAACACTACAGCCAATATTGATATCCAATATTATTATTAGTGTTATGGCTGATAATCGATATTACACAAACACACAAATTATTTATAAACATATGCGCACAAAAATGCTTGTCTTTTTTCGATATCGTAAAAAAATGACCAGACCGCTGACATGGCTCTCTACTTCAGTTTCTCCTGGCTGCATAGCATCACTAACGCTATCATGATCAAACAGATACCACTCGACCAGTCATTTCCCCTCTCAAAACAGAAACACGAAGCTAAAAAGTGGGAAATCAATAGCAGACGTAAATGATAGCGATGTTAATGCTGGTATATTGTGCATCCCTGTTCTCTAATCAWACCTCAGGTCTGTGCCATGGGAATAGTCTTTATACGTGAAATAAAATCATTCAGATTTGAAGTTGTTGTCATATTTTCTTTTTTTTAATGAACCTTTATTTAACGAGACAATTCCCATTGAGATCTCAGCTCTCTTTTGCAAGGGAGGCCTGCTGGACCTGAAGGCAGCCTAACATGCAWGTTTTAAGAGTACCTATGCTATAAATACTCTTTATCCTGTTTAAACAYAGGATAAAGTATGCTTGAAGATTTTAGTAATCATTTTTTAGCAATCTCCTTTCTGTAAATTATCCACTAATTTGTATATGGGTGGTTTTATATCATTTCCAGGCACATAGTTCAATTATGAAAATGCTGTATATATSAAAAATAAATTTGACTTTGCATCATAGCTTATCYAAAAGCCTTGAAATTGGCCYCTGTCTCTTTAAGAACTTCCTACTGTTTCTGACACTCCCACTTCAACAATGCTTCGTGGGAGGGGTGCTCTGTGGGATGGCAGCTTTGTACCTTCAAGTGTTTAGGCAGCTCCACATGGCTACCACAGAAAATTCAAGGATTTCTCAAACGCGCACGAATGAGTCAAAGCTACACTCTGGGTATATTTTTGATGAGGGAATGACATCATAACATGATATAAAGCTCAGAAAATCAATTTTGCCTAYCCCCACTTTTTAAAAAAAGTGCTGTTGAACCAGGTTGAACCAAGCTGAAGTGAAACTCCTCAATTTCCATAAACAACAACCAGACTTCCTGTAKGAGTACAGCTGCTGAGCTGTAGTGACATAACGCTTGGGTTTGGTGTTTGTCRTTTCTCCGTTTGGCGAACTGTCCATTTCATGTCAAGTTTGATTCTGCTTTAATAAACGGGRAAAATGCTGCATGTCTTCCAGCCTGTTCTCACTGTCTGCTTTCTCCTCAGGATCCCTTGGAACAATATGGTATATCTGACGAAACTCGTTTCCAGGTCAGCAATGGTCAACAGCTCAAACCCAGAGACACATCCTCCCTTTAGTCCAGAGCTCTGTTGAAAATATGATCATTTCAGTCCTCTGTAGTAATCTAACTTCAGTTTCATGGCTGAAGACACTCCGACTTTTTACATTTGGTAGCCTTACTTTTATAAATAAGGTAACAGGGATTTTTTTTTAATGTGCAAAGTTATAGCTCTTTTCTACCGTGTCTTTGTCCTTCATTAAAGAAAATGATTTAATAACTGTTTAGAAAATTTTACATACATCTTTTTTTCAGTCTTATTTAATCAGTTGATTATGAACAGGTTTTTTTACTGAGCATGCTGTACACACAGAATGTAACACTGAGAGGTTGATTGTTCTTAAGATGATTTTCCTGAGAGTCTGTGAGCATGAATGTGTTTAATAAAAGCCATTTCAAGACATTCAATTATGTGGAGAAAATCAACATAAACCTGAGTAMATTCAACCAGCTAACACTCCTTTTAACTTGGACTATTATAGTATAGCAATCTAATCTGAATTAGCTGTTTCTGTGTATTTACTGTTTATTCATTTTAAAGGAGTTTTGCACGTTACTGGGAATATAGCCTAGTTTTATTTGAATAACAGTCACTTACTTGAACTTTGTTTAATCTTTGTTYCACTGTGAATTGCAATCTTTTAACTAAGATATATATTGACATCTTATTATATACAGATTATCRACATGAATACTTGCAAGTTTTGCTCTTAGCCATATTTCCTGAAAGGGTTTTGCTGTATCTTATAAGCTAGTGAAATATTTATKTTAGAAATAATGAAAATTTTGTCACAATATTTTTGTATGAGGCTGTTTTGCTTTATGTCAAACTTTATTTTTGCTTAGTTTTCATTCATCACTTTATACAAATAAAGTAATTTGAAACTTGTAATTAGTGTATTTTGTTTTAATTTGCGTGTGTTTAGTCTGGTGCYTATTTCGACACCGGGCACCTTCCGTGTGTTTCCTTAGCAACGAAAAATGTTGGGTTTAAATTTTGTGACGTGATGTTTTTCCCGTGGTGCTTTGCGAACCTAAATTGAATGCTCGGGCAAAATACATTTGTATTCGCTGTTCAGCCTTGAAAAAAAGCATAAAACAAAAGACATTTTGACACGTCGGAAGAAACATTTGAGCGGCCTGTAAAGGCGAGACCATATTTTTGGAAGAGGTAGGTTTTTACAAGTGCAGATTGTGAACAATAATGTTGACAAAGCATTAGCCCGGTGGCTAGCGTAATTTACGGTAAATCATCCAGCTGGGCTAACGTTAGCTTAGCTGTGTGTGCTAAATGATAGGACGGCCTTTTTATGATTATCATATAGGTTTAAAGATTACAGATCATCGACAAACATTGTGTTTGTTCTCTGTTCAAGGACAGCTCGAAGGTAATTCATGCTGTTAGGCTAATTTTCATAGTTTGTTTAGTTGGCGAATGTAAAGTGCTGTTAGCATTATCGAGCTCAGTCGTGAATAAAGGAAATTGTAAAGTCACAGTTTGATTTTAGATTTTAGGTTAATCTATTTTGGATCTGGGATGAAACAAGCTCTCTAGAGTTTAATGGGCTTTGATTGTTTCAAAAACGTTTTAAGATTGCATAATTGGATCGTGTATTTTGGAAACTTGTATTCAATTATAAGGCTTAACAGAATGATGTAAGTAAATTCATTAAATGACAGGTGGCTTATGAAAATGCATGATTTATGTGGGTGTTTGGATTCTAGGTACTCATTATGTCACAAAAGACACCAAAATTATTGGGATGATAAGCGATTTTTTTAGTCATTAAAATCTAATGACGAATCCCTTGTTTTTGTTTTGCCTCTGACTGTTACTACTWAAGTGTTATGTTGACTTTGTTTCCAGGCATCATGGATCAAGACTATGAGTGCAGGCTGCTAAGACAGATTAATATCCAAAACGAGAATGCCAGCCCTGTAGTAAGTAAATAACATACACTGTAGTGTTTTGTTTGAGTCTGTCCCCCCCTGCAACAGAAGCAGTGATTCCTCACAAAACCACGGTTTCTAAGGTTGAAAATAATACATAAATTAAAAAAAAAATTTCAATTATTGTTATAATGGACATTATATTACAAACTCTGCTGGTACACCAGTGATTTCCTCTTGGGCAGATGAAGAKATGTGGTGGACTTTAGTCTTTCAGTGTTCTGGCTCCGTACAAACACCTCATCATCACTTGGTAGTTTGTTTTTGACCTGGTTTAATGACCTGCCATTAGGGATGCGTACCTTTGACGTTTGAATCGATTCTGTACCAATATCCGGAAGGGTTGGGCATAATCGTATCATGTGCAAATAATCGTCAGAAAAACATTAATCGACTACTTTTTGGCACTTGATGATTAATATGATTAATGCTACCAGGCTGGAGATATCTCCAGTCAGTCTCCGTTTAATGTTACGTGAATAGATACTCGGTAGAACCGACAGAATTCGGTCTGTACATCAAAAAGTATCAAATTCGGTACCCATCCCTACCTGCCATAGAGTCTTTTTGTACCAATCTGTGATGTTTAATTGTTCTCATAGAGTTGCTGGGATTTGGTATAAAAATGCAGCCTGCTGACATTTTACTAAATACAATTGATTCTGATTTTTTTAACCACTTTGGATAAGTGGGATGACTATTACCACTACATTTGGTTCCATTTAATATAGATTCCAAACAACTAAAAACCTCAAATATATTAAGTACATTGGGCCTCATGCAAGAACATGTTCGTATTTTTATCCTAAATTTCTCTTACTTTTGTTCGTACAAAGGGTTCATACGAACATGTCACGTCAGATTCAACAAACTCTTCTATCTTCA